TCTCAAAGAGTCTCAAAGAGCCTCAGATAGTCTCAGAGAGTCTCAGAGAGTCTCAAAGAGTCTCAGATAGTCTCAGAGAGTCTCAGAGAGTCGTGGAGAGTTGTAGGTGCAGCGACCTCTTGTCCTGAGCAGATTTAATGTCTGAGCTCACCAAACCATCAGCTGATGCCACATCTGAGCTCTGATTCGATGGTATCAACTGTTCTTACAAACACGAGTCTCGAGTGTGTCAGGATCTGTCATGGACACGCTCTCCCAGATGTTTGGATCTGGACCTGCTGGAGGTGCAGCAGTAAAACCAGCGGACCTCGTTCAGTCAGCGTTAATCCTGAATGAGTCTCCAAATGTTCTGAACTTCCTGCTGTGACTCAGTTTCACCATCACACATTGAAAATGTCCGTGAGCGTCGGTTTGCAGCAGAGCTGCTCTGAGGTTCATGGAGAAATCTCCACAACATCTTGTCATGTTTCAGGAGGTCCTCGGAGCTCACAGCTTTGACTCCTGAGCTTTAAACATCTTGGTTTGACTCATTTTCTGTCAGAAGAGTCTGCGAGCGGTCTGCTCTCTGACAAGAACATCCCTCAGCGCTGATGGAGGCAGGTTCTCTCCTCAGGTCACCAGAGAGAGATCTGGAGATGGTTTTAGGCCGGAGGTCCTGCCGGACACACCCTGGACTCAACCTGTTTCCAAACAGCTGCCAGGGCGGGAACAAAAACAGGTCGATGTGTACGAGGTGCTCATCGGGACAACGTGCACGGCCCAGAAGGCACTTTACACAAACAGGCAGCGATGTTCCACAACCGGCTGCTCGGAGCAGACCAGCCTCCGCGTGCAGCAGAAAATGCATTTCTTCTTAACTTAAAGCGACTGCAACAACAAACGAAGAAACGTTTTCAACCCGAGGCTCCGAGGCTGAATTCAACCGTTTGCAGATCATTTAGAGGGAAACTGAACGGATTCACATTCTGTGTGAAACCAGCAGCAGCTCAGAGGGTTGAGGTGGAAACGTTTTCTCATTTTGTCTCCAACTCATGAGACACACACCTGCATAAACGTGTTCTCTGTTAAATGTTACATTTTATCGCCTCGTGTCTCTGGTCCGGTCTGACCCAGTGAAGCTCCTCAGGAGGAACTGGACCTTCAGCTGCCTCTCTGACGACACCAAAACCAAACTGAACTTTCTGTTTCCAGTCATCGGATTAATTATTACAGACTGTGAGAAATGGACCGAGTCCAAACCCGGCCTCGCCTCCTCACACCATGAGTCAGTGGTGAAACCGGCCTCGCCTCCTTTAATCACAAATTATTGAGACGTCTGTCCTCGAACGTACGATTTCTGTTTGAGCGACACCGAACACAGAAATACAATATATAAATAAATAAATGAAGATAATGGACGTTCTGTGTTCTGGTTTCAGTGAAACCCAGAGGAGGTTCTGGGACCTGGGTCCTGCAGGAGTTTTATGGTTTTATGGTTTTATGGTTGTTAACGGTCCACGTTTGGTCCAGATCAGAGTCCAAAGTCTGAGGAGAGAGTCTCAACAAGAGGATCCAGACGAAAACTGATGGTCGCTGGAAACAAGAAATAAACAACAACAAACAAACAACAACCTCACTGACAGTAAACAACAACAACAAATACTAAGAATCGCAAAAAAATTAAACATCAGAGATTATATAGAAATAAAACATTCAATTATGAAATCCTCAAAACAACCTCGGTGAGCTCAATGGGAGTTGCCTGGGTAAACAAATAAACAAACAAGTAAATTATTGGACAGACAACAATCAAACAACTAAATTAACAATAAAAATATATATATATTAATAAATAAACAATGGGCAGACCACAAGCAAATGTACAAACAAATAAATACACAAACAACTGGACAGACAACAAAAAAATGGATAATTAAATAAAAACAAATTATAATAAATAAATACATAAACAAAGAAACAATTGGAAAGACAACAAACAAAAACTAATAAAAAATAATAATAATTGGACAAGCAAGCAAACAAACAAATATATGAATAAACAAACAAATAGAAACATTAAATAAAAAGTGGTAATAAACAAAGAATAATAAAGTAATAATTACCTTCAGATAAACAGAACAAATACATTTAAATAAAGTTAAAAAGTGAAGCTCCAAGTGCAGTCACATTTTAAATAAATAAAATTAAAATTAGCATGAAATGCAAAGTCAACATTATATTTACCCTTTGTATTTATTTAACATTGTATTAATTATTTAAAGATCTGGTCCAGTGATCCACAGAACCCACGTTGTTCCTCGTGGATCTGAGGTTGGACCAACGATCGGACTCTCCTCCAGCACCTGAACAGATCTTACCCGGAGGCTGGGGAGAGTGATGCTCCTGCAACTGGAGCATCACCCACTGGTCCCACTTTTGAAGTGGGAACCACCACCCAGTCTGCCAGTCCAGCGGCACTGCCCCCCATGTCCACGAGATGTTGCAAAGACGTGTCCACCAAGACACCCCACAACACCCACTCAGGGAGAATCTCACCCACCCCTGGTTCTCTCTCCTACACAATCTAAAGTGATCAGATCTTCATCTTCTTGTCCTCGGAGCACCCAGCTCTGGGTCAGAACTTTAGCAGGAATGCTCCTGCTTGTTTTCTGGCGTGAACCCGGTTGTGCACGTGGAAGGCCTGACATGGCGCCGAGCCTCTGCAGACTGGTTCTGAACACAGCAGGCGACGAGCTTCAAAACACACAGCTATTCCAGGCATCCAGCCTGCTGCAGGGGAGATACTTATCGTGACATGAAGACAGGGGAACCACGCTGCTGAACCCGTTAAGGTCTCGGACCGACCGCGTCACGCACACACCGGGCCACAGCGTCAGAACCTGGAGAAAAACCTGGTTTGTTGTGGTTTCTGCTGCAGAGACTCAAACCAAAGCTCAGACGTTTTCTCAGGCGTTAAAATGTGACCCGGTGCTCAGACCGCTGAGCAGGACTCAGGCCCGCTCTGGTCCAGGACCAAAACAAGGAGGAGGACCGGCCTGCTCCTCTGTTTATCTGTAAACTGACAGCTGAGGCCTGGAGGGAAACACCAACCGGTCCGACCAGATCTGAACCTTTAAATTGGGCCTCAGCATCCGGGCGCGCCACATTCTGTCTACAGGCTCAGAACAGGTCAAACCTGAGACTCCTGGCAGGGAAACCTGAACCAGAACCAGGACCTGACGATGGATGAGGTTTAGTGAGCGGGCTTTAACCAACGTCCCGGGATTTTAGCCTTTTTTCCTCCTGAACGAGCTGAAAACCGACGCAGCAGCCGAAAGGCATGAGGAGTTCTCCCTGCAGAGGTCCTGCAGACCTGGAGGAGCTGACATGATCCACTTCCTCCCTCCGTGGGTTGTGGAGGCGATGACGCTCAGGACCAGGAAGCTGCTCTTCATGCTCATCCTACTGGACTTCACAAGCGGTGAGCTTAAAGTCCGTTTGGACCCAAACATCAGACGGGTCAAGGTGCACATGGAGCTCACAGACCACCCGTTTGGTTCTGGTGGCCTCATGAGGCCACACGCTGAGCCTGCAGCTGCGTTTCGGCTCCTCTTTCAGCTGATAAACAAAGCTGCTGCAGGAGGTTCTCCTGAGCCTTGGTTTGCAGCGTCTCCACATCAGCTGAAGGTTTGGAGATGTGTGACTGTTCATGAAGCGTTCACACTGTTGTCATCCTGTTAATAGTTATTAGTCCAGTTATCTTAAACTGCTCCGTACATTTTTCTGCATCTTCCTCGTCCCGCAGTTTTCAAACTATTTCAGCAAATCATGAGTCAAAACGTTCGGCTCTTTCAGGACAGTCCTGCTGTGATTTTTGGTTTTGGTGCAACTTTAGCTTTTTTAAATATTTAGCCTTTTCTGACATTTTTTGTTCTCATAGAAAATGAACTGAGCTCATTTTCCATCCTTCAAATCTTTAGATGTGTTTACAACCTTTTACTGCTCCTTTCATACGTTGTTCTGCTTCAGCTTCTTTCAGCTTCCTGCTGCAAATTTAAACTTTTTTCAGCTACTTGCAGATGTTTTTTCAGCTGTTTGTGCCCTTTTCAGCTTCTTTCTGCTAACTACAATATTTTTTGTGCTTCTTCTAACTTCCTTCTGCTAATTTAAGCATGTTACGCTCCTTTCAGCTTATTTCTGCAAGTTTCAGCTTTTTCTGCTATTTCAGCTGTTTTATGCTAATTTTAGCTTTTTTCAGCTAATTTCACATTTGTTGCACTCATTGTAACTTTTTTCAGCCTAATTCAGCAAAAATGTGCTCTCTCCACTTACTTCTGGTAATTTAAGCTTCTTTCTGTCTTTTTAGCTAATATTCAGCTGGTTTTTTTTATATTTGTTTTTAGCAAATTTCTACTTTTGTCAGATAATTTACACTTTTTTGTGCTCAATGTAACTTCTTTCAGCGCAGTTGAGCAAAATGGTGTCTCTCCACTTTCTTCTGGCAACTTCAGCTTCTTTTGTCCCATTTAGCCACTTTTCAGCTCTTTTTTTTTTTTTTTACCTATTTCTGTGCTCATTTCTGCTTCTTTCAGCCTGATTGGGCACAGTTGTGCTCGCCCCACTTCGTTCTGCTAATTTAAGCTTGCTCTACCGTTTCAGCTATGTTTTTAGCATTCCTTACCTACTTTCAGCTGTTTTTAGATCATTTCAAGTTTTGCGTGATAATTTCTGATACTTTCAGATTAATTAAAGTCTTTCTGCAAATTTTAGCTTGTTATGCTTTTTTCAGCATATTTCTGCTAGTTTCAGTTTTTTCTGCTATTTCAGCTACAATTCAGCACGTTTAAGCGAATTTCAGCTGTTTGTCAGCAATAAGCATTCACACTGCGTTTTCACTGGAATTGTAATTAGTATTCTTGAAACTTGACACGGTGCGCTCTGCACCCGTCGGTCGCTTCCTGCAGCGTCGTGCGTCTCCTTTCAGAAGACAGGCGACCACTGGAAGTCCTTTATAGACCTGAACCACACCAGCCTCGGCTTCTTTCAGCTCCTGCTTCAGGGTTTTTGGGCTTGGTGGCCTCTGGTCACGCTCTCACTGCAGCCTCGCTGTGTTCGAACAGCTGATGATTGTGTGAACGGTGGATTCGCTTCTCAGCCACTCGCGACGTGAAGTTACAGAAGATCTTTCAGTTCTCGTCCACAAAACCTCCACCTGAACATTTGTAGGTCGGTCCAAAACCTTTTGTTGCTGTTGGACCTGCAGGTCCTTCTTCAGACCTGTTTGGTTCTGTCTGCAGACAGAGGTGGTCACAGCTGGAGCTGCAGTGTGATGGTAGCCAACAGAGAGCTACTATAACAATCTAGAAGGTTCCTGGAGAAACTCTGACGGGGACTGCCACGCTGCAGCTGTTTTAAATGTTGATTGACAGCTGTGTGTTGGAGTTCACTCTCAGCTACCATCACACCAACCTTCAGCTCAACACGGCAAGAAGCTCAACCAGTTAGAGTCATGTTGTATTTTAAGCTTTGGTGGCCATCTTGGATTGTTTTATTGGGATGGGGAATGTTCTCAGCTTTAACCTCACCAGATCTCAGCTCTGTATGTGTAAGAATAGCTATGTTAAAGCCATTTAAATTTAGCTTTGGTGGCCATCTTGGATTTTTAGATTTGAATTCAGAATGTCAGGCACCACCAAACCAAATTTCAGCTCAATATCTCAGAGAATGACTGCGTTATAGTCAACTCTGAGTTTTCTGAGGTAGCTGTGGCAGCCATCTTGAATCAAAATGGCTCCAAATGTCAATCAGTTGTGTTCAGAGGCCTCTCCCCTCCAGGTCACGTGACCTCAGAGTGTCAGTTAGAGGCTACGACTTCTGTCAGTGTTTTTCAATGGGAAAAATGGCGTCCTTGTTTTCAAATTACGTTGCCATGGTAACTTGAACACATCACGGGCCGAGTGGTTGTTTTGTATAAAATTTGTCGGTGTACACATCGTGGTTCGGTTCACATTAAAGTAGAAGAGCAGGACCCTTGTCAGGTGGATAATAACAGGTGCTGCCTTCAGGAACTCCACAATTATAAATTATTTTTAGGACAGACCTGAGATAAGTTTCAAACCAGCTGGTCGAAGCAGATGGTCCTCTTGTCCTGATCCTGGTTCTGCTAAAGGTTTCTTCCTCATGAGGGAGTTTTTCTTTCCACTGTCGCCTTCATGCTTGTTCAACATGAGAGTTCAGTGATGGAGTTAAACTCAAAGCTGCTCCTCAGATAAATAATGTTCAATTATTATTTTATACATGAATGTTTCTGTTAATTATTATTTTATACATGAATGTTTCTGTTCAATTATTATTTTATACATGAATGTTTCTGTTCAATTATTATTTTATATAAGAATGTTTCTGTTAAATTATTATTTTATAGATGAATGTTTCTGTTCAATTATTATTTTATACATGAATGTTTCTGTTCAATTATTATTTTATATAAGAATGTTTCTGTTAAATTATTATTTTATAGATGAATGTTTCTGTTCAGTTCCTGAGACGACTTCTGTTGTGACTCGGAGCTGAAGAAATAAACTGAACTGAATTTAAATTAACACGAGGAGAAAAGTTTAATTTACTCTAAATAATCTGAGGATGTTAAAAGCTTTTCCCTCCTGATTCGTCTGCAGCATTCATGGATGTTTGTTTGTTTGTTTGTTTGTTTTGGTGAGTTTACCAGGAGAAAACCTCATTAACGTGTTTCCTTCAAGAAACTTCTGATATGCATCAAACCACGAGGACTTGTTTTCTGACAGTGGAACGTCATCATTAATAAAGGCTGACGCAGAGGCTCCGCCTTCTCCTGTTGTTCAGAGGTGAATTCAACGTGTGGCCGCCATGTTGGACGTTTGGAGTCCCGCCCCCACAAACTCCCCGTCTGTCAATCACAGTGAAAGTGACACTTTCTTTAGGCTGTGATTAGTTAATTAATTAAAGCTAAATGTATTTACTAACAATGTGGGGAGTGCTTTTATTTAGTCGAGAAGACGTCTCTGGTTTACACGGACTAAACAGGTACCTGAGCTCCTCCTTTGTGGCTTCAGCTTCCTGATTCTGGTCCGGTCTCTAGTTGTAGCGGGTCTGGATGGGTCTGGATGGGTCAGACTCAGAGTCCAACACAGAGCGCTGATAAACTCTGAAACATGGTTTCATTGAGAGTAAAGGTGCAGCTGATCATCAGACCTTTAGTCTCTGGTGTTTGATTCAGTCAGAGGTCCAGACCCAGTTGGACCTGCCGGGTTCCTATCAGAGGTCCAGACCAAGTTGGACCTGCCGGGTCTTGTTGAATGTTGTTGCAGACCGGACCGTCTCATGTGTTTCTCTCACCTCAGAGACCGTACTGATGTTGTGACTGTGTGCAGATATCTGGACGCTGCCGGCCCCCAGTGGCGTCTTCGTGGACTCTGTGGACATGAAGCACGTGCTGACGTGGGCGCCGCCGAAGGCCCTCTGCAACACCACGCTGCTGTACTCGGTCCAGTACCAGGGGTGAGTCCAACACACCAAACTCTTCTGCTCCACTCAGGAACGAGCTCTTCATGAGGAGCATTTGATCTGAAACTGTTTCCAACACGATTCATCAAATCCAACTTTTAACGACCTTATTGTCACAAAATATGAAAGATCAGGACAGAGTTTTGTTGCCTGGCAACAAACATACAATCCTTCATCTAGATGTTTGGATCGTTTCTGTAGTTTCAGACGAACACGAAGCTGCACAGCTCCAAACAGAACCGGCCTCTACGGAACACCACGGGCGTCTACAGGAACGTTTTGCTCATTTCTTTTTGAAGTTTTGTCCACGCAGATAAAAGTCTGAGCTGCTCCTGAGGAAACTTTAAGTTTTTATAAAGTGCCGGAGGAGCAGCCAGGAAAAGTTCTGACAGGTTCTACTTTTCTGAATGAGGCTGCTGGAAAATAAACTCTTGTCTTTGTCAGTCATGTAATGACAAACAGCGTTTCTCCCACAGCCATGAGGGCAGTGAACGCCACACAGCAGCTCCAGTGCTGCACAGAACGACCATTCTCATTATACAGTTAATAATTAATTTATCTTTTATAAATCTTTGGACACAGTGAGGGGTCACTTCTGCTTCAGTTGTTCCTATGACAAACATTCAGTTTAATTTGAAAGACAAAAACAAAGAAGAACAAAGTTTTATTAGTCAAATAAAACTCAAGTTCACTTTTATATAATATAAACAGTAAATGGATTGTACCTATACAGCTCCTGTCTGTCTAATGAAGATACTCAAAGCTCTTTACAACAATCTGTGCCCACATTTACCTCCGCGCGCACACACACACACACACACACACACACACACACACACACACACACACACACACACAGCACTCTATAGATCTGTACAAAGAATAATCAGAGCTTTATCACATTCAGACACCTGAGACACACATCAGAGGCAATGAGGCGTTCAATGTTTTGCCCAGAGACACTTCAACATGTGACTGCTGGTGGAATCGAACCCCCGGCTCGCCCATTGGAGGACGACTGCTCTAACCACTCAGCCACAGCCGGCCCAGATGATTTTATATAAGAGCTCCGGTTTCACTGTGAATGAGGATCTTTACTGTTTTATACAAGTTTATTCTTCAGTTCCACGTCTGTTTCAGTTTATTCACGTTGTTTCCGCCTTTTTTACCTTCGGACAAAATAAAAAGCTGGTTGTTAATTTAGTAGCAACATTAGAAGGTTATGAAAGATGAAAACATTTTTTACAAAGTCTCAGCAGAACATCTTTAAATAACCTTCATCCAGTGTAGAAAAGGCGATGAGCCGATGAGCCTATGAGCCGATGGGGCAATAAGCTGATGAGCCTATGAGCCGATGAGCTAATGAGGCGATGGGGCGATGAGCTGATGAGGCAATGTGGCAACAAGCCTATGAGCCAATGAGCCAATGAGGTGATAAGCCAATGAGCTGATGAGGCTATGAGGCGACGAGGCGATGAGCCGATGACGCAATGAGCCTATGAGCCAATGAGGCAATGAGGCGATGAGCCGATGAGGCGATAAGGCAATGAGGCGATGAGCCAATGAGGCGATGAG